TAGTACACTGAGAAGGGTCAAAAACAAACTAGTACACAAGGTTGGGTCCAGTACACACCAGTAAACAAAGTTAAGTAGGGTCCAGTACATACCAGTCCACTGAGTAAGGTCCAGTACAGTGTATATTAGTGTTCAGTACAAGCTTTAATTGTAAAAAAGGAAATGCATTGCAAACGTGTAGAAAATACTTTTAACGCAACATAATTTTTTCGTTAGAAATTAAACGGGACTGTACCATCAAGAATTTGCCATCAATGTTTATAGGTATAAAGTCTTTTATTTTTATTGTTGCATATTTGATTATTAAACCCAAACCTAAAGTAATAAGTGAAATATTTGAAGACTATACTATACAAATACTACAAAGTAATATGTATGCATAGGTTTTTTTTTCTGCAAGAAATGAATATGCTAAGACGTAATATAAAAGAGATTGTACTACAGCCTACGGGCTGGCCTTTGGCCAGAAAATAAACATATTTTCTGCGTATAAAAATATACGCATATCAGGCATTCTTTAGACATGCCTTGATAAAGAAAACTTATTTTTCCCGTTACAATCTTCACAGTTGTTTCCTTTATGATTAGAAGAAAACTGTAATCGGAATGTTGAAAATACGTAACATGACCCTTACTCTTAATAAGCCGTAAACCCCTAACTATTAATTTAGTCAGGTAACAAGCTAAGGCGTAAATAAAAGTTTAAAATACAAATATTTAATTTTAAAAAATTAGTATTGACCCCACGTCTTGGACTCTTATTGTGTGAGTAGGGGGAGGATATGAAATAAATATTATTTACACATTATCATAAATTAATTTATATATCATACTGATAAGATAATATAGCTTAACTTCAATAATTTAAATTTCAATTAATCATTATTTCGAAATCTCCNCCTATATAAAGGAAAGAAACTGGTCACGCACATTACATCCTTACATCTTTGCAATCGGATGTCGTAGACCTTCCATAAAATGTAACTTTCAGTTGTGCTAGATCAAGTCATAGTCCAAATTGAAATATAACATGTTTTTACCATCAGGTTGCAAAGATACAAGGGAAAGTGTTTGAGGCGAATAACCAGTTCATTTATCATGAATATATCAGTTATGAAATTGATAATTTAATGATTAGACTTAGAGTTCAGATAATTAATGTAAAACAGCCTGGAATGCATTAACTACCCTAACTGCACTGAATACAACTGGATTAACTTGTTCAATGAAAATTATATAATTGCAAATATTTTACAAGATTGCAAAAAAACGGGATTTACTCACAAGAAGATTCAGTTCAATAACTGCAAACCTTGATTCCAAAAAAATAATAGGTAATCAATTGTAATTGAGATAGAGGTTTTCAATGAAAATAAAAAATAAAACTATAAAAAAATAGACTGACGAGTTTTTCATCATTATTGAAACAAAGAACAATAACAATGATTAAGAATTTGAACCATGTGGTGGTTAAATTAATTAATATTTATCAATCCAACCCAAACTTAATTATAAATGTAATCAAACTGCTTGGATTTCGTTTAAGTCCTTTTGTGTACTTTTGTAACTTATGACTTTAAATGTCAAAAAGTCATGCTTTCACGGAACATGTCATTCAATGAAATTATGGCATATGTAAACGTACCTACTAGTTAACATCTTCTTTTTAACCCATTCTACGAAGGGGGGCCGGGGAGAGAAAGGAAGGAATAACGACACATGTACATTGTACAATGTAATTAATATGATATAATTTTATACAGTATGTTATTGTTACATCAAATAAGTATAAACATCATTGCTTTTAAGCACTTTGACGTTATTAATTTCATACATTTTGTAAGCAAAGATCGTATTCTTAAGAATCTCCTAAAAGCTCAATGTTTTTCAAATAGTTAAAATGGTATAAAAAAGTATAATTTTTTCGCGTATAAAGGATGATGTCATTACCCCGCTTACTATTCATAACATGTATGCATTTTGCGTGCGAATTTTAATTTAGAATTTATTAGATATATTCTTAAACTGAGACAAGAACACTTCTTAAATTAACATTTCTAGGACTATAATTCTAAAAAATTAAATGTTCTTTTTACTTATTTGCTTTTTTAGAAAGAAAAAATATTTTTTAACAAATCTGCAATTTACTGGAGAACGCACCGAAAGCTTAATCAAGGATGCCCCTGTAATTTTTAACTGTTTCAAATATTCTATAACTGATGTAATATACTGATATGTCCTATGTGATAAACTAATTACCTAACTGACAGGGTCAACCCACAAAGGATTGAGACAGTAAAGAATGCTAAACTCTGTAAATAGGACTTTCCAAGGTTAAATTAAGTCTTTTATGTGTACTGTAGTCTTTAAATGATTTGTTCAATGATTTTGCAAAAAAGTAAATAAGTTTATAGTTTCAGGGAATCATAAATATAAGGAAACAGACAGATAAATTCCCTACATTCGTCTCTGAAGTCTCATCCTTTGTGGTAAACCTTGTGACATTGATTTAATAACACAATTGATTGTATAAAACTATTAAAAAAAGTGTACCAAAGACTGCAGTCACTTACCCTAAATATTTTTAAGATATTAGAATCAACAATTTGATTGTATAACAAATACGAAATAACCAAATCTGTAATTTAATGTTTGTCTTACGGTCTAGACCTTACTGCAATTCAATAACTTTTCACAGTTTTATTCATTGAATTATATCTATCTATCATCTGTTCAGCGTAATTCACTGTTTACATACATAAACAATAAATGCAAAAATGCATGTAAAAATATATGTAAAAACGTGATTTAAAAATGAATGGAAAAATGTGATGAAAAATGAATTTTTTTAAATAGATATAAGATGGTGTTTAAAAAGCACAAAACTATTTTTAATTAAAAGATTTGGGTTCAATGCACGTCAAAATGCATATATAAAATAATGCAAATGACCATTCTGCCATTTGTCGATTCCGATTTACAGACTGCACAGTTTCTATGTTCTATATTTATTTACAGACTGCACAGTTTCTATGTTCTATATTTATTTACAGACTGCACAGTTTCTATGTTCTATATTTATTTACAGACTGCACAGTTTCTATGTTCTATATTTATTTACAGACTGCACAGTTTTTATGTTCTATATTTATTTACAGACTGCACAGTTTCTATGTTCTATATTTATTTACAGACTGCACAGTTTCTATGTTCTATATTTATTTAACTTTTTAAAATCAAAACTGTCGATGTATATTTATCAATTTTATGGTTCTCACCAACATATTCAAAACTCATGATCAGAAAAAGCATAGTCACAGTTACCATTAAAAATCTGTGAAAAACAGGATATACCTATAACCTGCATGTAAACATTTCAGAAGTTACAACAAATGCGATTATTTAAAAAAAAAATAGACTAGGAGCTTATAGAAAACTAAAATCAAATTAAATTAGAATTGTTAATGCATACGTAGCAATAATGCTTGAGATAAATTTAAAATACATATCGAGGATTATAAATTTTATTTCTAAAAGATAATTTCCATTTGAAATTAAACCCTAGAAAATAGTTTCTTACTTCAAATCAAGGAGGATTGAATAGAAGGAGGGGGCGAAAGGGTTTCCGTACACTTTGCTGTGGTGCTTTTGGACTGCTGAAGAACTAGTTTTTGCGTAACAACAATAACAAAGGCTGCCGATCTAATGTAAACAAACATGAGTTAGTATACGGTGAATCTTCATCTAATGCCAGAAATGCCAGATGTTTGTTTATCATTTGTGTTATTGTTTACAATCATTATTGTTGTTACGCAAAAACCAGTTCTACAGCAGTCCAAAAACGTCACAGACAAGTGTACGGAAACCCTATCGCCCCCTCCCCTTCTATTAATTTTGTACATAACCACTTAGTTTTCTGCAAAATTATTATTATTTATTTATTATTTTAGGGTTAGGTTAGGACGATTTCTGGGCCGAGCACTGCGGCTAGGACAGACTAGGGGGCCAAGCGAGGACAGACTAGGTGTTGCATATGAGATCCATATACAAAATTGATAGAAGGGGGGGGGGGGGGTAAAACTCGTTCTCTAACAAGTTACCAATGTAGTACTAGTCTCAACCGTATACAATTTAAAAGAAATAATTTGCCTTTACGTTTCTAACATCTGAAGAACAATTCATTCTTTTCCCCAAATTCATTGATTTATGTATTAAAAGCGTTTTTCATCTACTTACTCGCAATTCTTAAGTTTAATCTATTTTCATTTAATTTACTCGTCTAGCAAATTTTAGAGTAAATTCTACTCAGGCTAACAAGATTTAGAGTATATTCTACCCAGACTAGCAAATTTTAGAGTAAGTTCTACTCAAGCTAACAAGATTTAGAGAATATTCTACCCAGACTAGCAAATTTTAGAGTAAATTCTACTCAGACTAACAAGGTTTAGAGTAAATTCTACCTAGACTAGCAATTTTAAGAGTAAATTCTAATCAGACTAACAAGGTTTAGAGTATATTCTACGTCCCAGACTAGCAAATTTTAGAATAATTACTTCTCAGGCTAGCACGGTTCAAAACCGGTTTCTAGTTTCTAAAGCGGACAGAAATTCCTATAAAAAAATTCCTTTTATAAAGAAGTTTAGCAGAAATTAAAACAGCTATGATGTTTGAATATGATTCTGAACGAGCATAATCTAAAATTATGAAAATTTTAGCTCACTGATATATTGTTCAAAAAAAACCAAATAAAGATATATAATAAAAATGTGTACGAAAAATATCAGTTTAGAGCAATATTAATAATAATAAAATTGGAATCATAAATTATAAAACATTGTTATTAGTTCATAGTAGTTAAAAACGACAACATACAAACCAAAACAAAAACTAAATAACACGTTTATGAATATGCTTGTTTTCAAGTTATCTCATTAACCATTTTGCTTCACAATATTTCATATAGTTAATTTTGTTGACAAAGAAAAGTTTATTAGGCTTACCTCATAAACTCTACCAGTAATCACCGTTTAATAACTTAAATTGACTAATTTAATAACACAATGATGAAATCTCAATGATATCCTACGCATTTGCTTTTACACTGCGTAAATTACTGAATCAGAGACAAATAATACCGTTTAGAAAGAGAAATATTCAACTCCGCGGCAAATACAAAACATGCGGAGGTACTGCCTCTCAGGGTTTCGTTTTAAACTTGGGATATCATAAAAACCGTCGTTAACGCCCTTAAATTTTTAAGTTTTTTATAAACATTGTTTTTTTTTTCAATTTTGAAAAACATTTGAATTACATTTGTGAGAATGAAACTTTTTTTTAATATAAGTGAAAATCTAAAATCTTATGTTTTTAAAGGAAACCCTAAAGTAAGGGGTGGCTGAACTGTATTAAACACGTACTATTATATAACTTAATCAATGTTATAATTTTAAATTAGGAGACAAATATTAGTTTCCTGACTTTTCTTCTATTTTGTTTATTTATAGTTGCAAAGCTTTAGTGGAGCGAGAGACATTGAGGAAAGCAATTATATCTTCCTTAAGCCACTTTTTAATGACGTCACGAATAGACCGGTGGCATTGCATTTGCGTGTCTGAAGGGTGCTATTTCATTTGAACTACTGCCGTTTGAACTATGGCTCATTTGAACTATTGTTCATTTCAACTACTGCACGTGGGACCACGTGAGTAGTTGAAATAAACAATAGTTCAAACGAGTAAATATATTACTCATTTGAACTATTTTTTAGTTCATTAGAACTATTTTCATTTGAACTATTAAAATATTATTAATGAAATAAACCAAAAATAGTTCAAATGAACATAAAAATAGTTCAAATGAAAAAAAGAATAGTTCAAATGGACAAAAAAATAGTTCAAATGAGCAAAAAAATAGTTCAATTGAACAAAAAAATAGTTTAAATGGGCAAAAAAATAGTTCGAATGAACAAAAAAAATAGTTCAATTGAGCAAAAAAATAGTTGAAATGAACAAAGAAATAGTTTAAAGGGGCAAAAAAATAGTTGAAATGAACAAAAAAAAATAGTTCAAATGAATAAAAAAATAGTTGAAATGAACAAAAAAAAAATAGTTCAAATGAACATACAAATAGTTCAAATGGACAAAAAAATAGTTCAAATGAACAAAAAAATAGTTCAAATGAACAAAAAAATAGTTCAAATGAACAAAAAAAATAGTTCAAATGAGCAAAAAAATAGTTCAAATGAACAAAAAATTAGTTTAATTTGAACTATTTTTAACCTAACCTAACCTAACCTAACCTAACCTATTTTTTTTGTCCATTTGAACTATTTTTTAGTCCATTTAAACTATTTTGTCCATTTGAACTATTTTTTTTTTCATTTGAACTATTTTTATGTTCATTTGAACTATTTTTATGTTCATTTGAACTATTTTTATGTTCATTTGAACTATTTTTATGTTCATTTGAACTATTTTTATGTTCATTTGAACTATTTTTATGTTCATTTGAACTATTTTTATGTTCATTTGAACTATTTTTATGTTCATTTGAACTATTTTTATGTTCATTTGAACTATTTTTATGTTCATTTGAACTATTTTTATGTTCATTTGAACTATTTTTATGTTCATTTGAACTATTTTTATGTTCATTTGAACTATTTTTATGTTCATTTGAACTATTTTTATGTTCATTTGAACTATTTTTATGTTCATTCTGTGTAATGTTTATCTAATTAATTGTCATGAATATAACTTAATGGAGATTATAAAAAAAATTTTAAAACTGAATTGGGGTAGAAAAATAGTTCAAATGAGTAAGAAATGCGTTGATTTAAACTACAGGATATGACGTCATGTCAGTAGTTCAAATGAACAATAGTTCAAACGAGCAATAGTTCAAACGTACCATAGTTCAAACGGCAGTAGTTCAAATGCGGATCCACCACCATTAAATTAAAAATTACAAAGACGACTTTTCTATTTTTATCTTTAATAAAATTGAGATTATTCCGCGGCACTTGGGCATATCGATTTTTGTTTTTAATTTCTTGTTTACGTTTTCAGATAAACCCGCCGGGTACATTCTCACAGATGTACTTGATAAACCTAAAATTTTACTACAAAATTTAGTCATTTTTCCCATTAAATTAAATGTAAAATTGGTCCTACAGGTTTACCGTTAACTATATAGATTAAACTCAAAAGTTGATATGATACAGAAAACTGGGTATATTCCTAGAGAAGATTTTTGGACCCCCACCAGCCCCCCCCCTTTCAATTTTGTACATGGATCTTACAGTAAGTGTCTTAACTTAACCTAACGCTCGGCCGCCTGTCCTAGCCGCAGCGCTCGGCCCAGAAAGTGTCTTAACCTCACCTAACCCATATATAATAATTAATAANTGTGGGAAGGTCCAAAAATCGTTCACTAGGACAGACCCGAAAATTGTCTCAAAATGTGACAGAAAATACAGATTAGATTATTTTCCAAGCTTTAACGTCAAAATACGCACATAATACTGGAAAACCCTAATATTATCTGCATGCATATCTTGGTAATTTCCTGAACTTTTGGGACTCCGCCCCCCTTTCCTTCTATCAATTTTGTTCATGCATCTGATATGTAACAGATGGATTTAATTGGACATGTGGCTGGAGCGCCCGGCTCCCTAGCCTGTCCTGGCTGCAGCGCTGGGCCTCCCCATAACCTGTCATAGCCGCAGCGCTTGGCCTAGAAGTTGTCTTTACCGAAACTAACCCTGAAATAATACATAATTATTATTATTGATTTTTTATGAGAGGGGATTTCGTCCATTTATAGTTTAATAACTTTTAAATACAACTTCTCTTTGGATCTTTTCCAGGGGATGTCATTAATTAAAAGTCTTTGCAGAATATTTCGATAATTTTAAATTTTATATTTCAGACTTGCTATGCATTAGATTCTAGACGTTTAGGTTAGGATGGCCACCTTACCTGCCAGGACGGGTCAGGATAAACCAGTTTTTATTCCGCCCAAACGGCGCACTGCATCCGGCAAGTCGAGCGCCAATACGCCAACTCGGTCCATGTATGGAGACCAAATTCTTCTTGTTCAGGTTTTAATTACTTTTTATCAATTTTTACCCAACATTTTCATGATGATTAATTGTTTATATGGAGGGAGCCGGGGGGGGGGGAAGAGTGAGAGAGCTTTATTAAAAAATCTTCATCTCATATAATTAAAAATTTCTCCCTGAATTTCAGCTATTCTAATGGGTAGGGGCACACACAAACCTCTCCCCCCCCCCCTTATTCAAACCTTTACAAATTAAAATTCAATTATGTAGGGTCGGAACCCAGGGTCTGTCGACTGTCTAGCCGCCGAGCAGGACAGGGACGTTCTCGGCTCCTTGGAGAAAGTTCCGAGTGGGTCATTTGGTACTATGAAATCAATCAGGTGGGGGGAAGCGCAAACATTTGGATTGAATACTAACTTTATTTCCTAGCATTAGTTTTCTGTAGTTTAAAGATTTTTTTCATCTGTACGTAGCGATGGGAATAATTTGGTTCATTTTAAAGGGTTCTTAACTTTAAATAGGTTCAACAAAATCTGAGACATTTTACAAAATTCAAAATTTTTTTTTTATATGAACATTTGCTTTTCTTATACTATGCAAAATTTTGGAAATTATTAATTTGCCAGTTCGTGTATTCCTTTTTTTGAACAGAGCTGAAAACTTTAGAATGGTGGATATCGAGATTAATGCTTGATCCTCTCTTTTTGCTTATCTGAAGACTAGTTTAGTCTTTAGTTGAACTTCTAGAGATTAGAGATGTGCTCTAATGCTTTAGAAAAACCGGTTTTTAATTTTCCCGCATTTGTGGTGTCATATCAGTTGAGATAGTGATCGATTGAACGAACGTTTTGTTTTGGATTTATGTTTATTAATGTTCAAAAGGACTAAAGTCCTTAAATGGGATAGAATATGCTTTTTAATAAGTTCATATTAACATGAATAAGTTAATGTTTGTTTAAATGCTCTAAAACTCGGCTTGTGGACAGCTGACTTTAGTTCAATCGGATATTAGTCCAATCGATATAGCATCGTTTCTGCATTTGTTATCAGACGTATCTTTATTACATGTAGTAGGAAATGTGATATCCAACAAGAGCGGATTAAAATTAAAAGTGTCCACAGTGGATATTAAGATTAAGCGATCAGGTTTAAGGGTATCCAATTCTAAAGGTTTCAGCTCAGATAACAGCTTCGAAATTGTAAGTTTTGTTCAACGTTTTTTAAACACGAACAAAAACTATTAAAAACCCTATCTACACGTTATGTACAGTGTACACGTTGTGAGCTATATAACGGGTATAGTACTGACATTTAATAACTCGATTTTGTTGTATTCATTATTCTGTATTTTACATTTTATAATGATTTGTAGGTCCAATGGTAGTGTTCCGACCCTTGAGAGGGTTCGAAGAGAGATGTCAAACCATAGTATAGGATCCCATTCACAGACAAGCTCAGGACAGGTGGGAGTTGATTTATTTTGATTTGAACTGATTGATTGATTGATCTATTGATTGATTTATTGATTACGCAAATGACAACTGACTAACATTAATGCCAACAAAGAACAATATATGACAATAAATGACAACAAATAAAAATAAATGACAACAAATGACAAGAAAGGACAACAAATGACAACGAATAATAACAAATTACAATGAAACACTACAAATGACAAAAAATTTAACAATTGACAGAAAATGGCAACAGCCAACAATTGATTTTAAGTGAAAAAAAATTTCCACAAAATGTTTTTTTAGATCTTTGAGCTGAATACCAATATTAATCTATGTTTCTGGATCTCCAAGCGGAGTACAGATCTTGATCTTTATTGATCTTTATTTATGTTTCTAGATCTCTGACCGAAGTACGATATTGATCTATGCTTTCAGATCTCTGAATGAAGTATAGATCTATGTTTATAGATCTTTGAACTGACTACAGATATATATTGATCTATGTTGATCTGTGTTTCTAGATCTCTGAGCGGAGTACAGATATTGATCTATGTTGAATTATGCTTATAGATTTCTGAACGGAGCACAGATATTGATCTATGTTTCTAGATCTCTGAGCGAAGTACAGATATTGATCTATATTGATCTATGTTTCTAGATCTCTGAGCGAAGTACAGATATTGACCTAGTCCGTGAAGCTGTACATACCAAACGAAGTCTGCGAACAGCCAGGTTTGGGTCTATTCATGAGAGGGGGGG